GGAGCGCTCGTGTGCCGACTAGGGGCCCCCTTGGACAGTCGATACGCATATACCAGAATCAACTCTTGACGCTGCGCGTGCCCCCCCCACAGCCCATCCATACACAGATCGACAGGCGAGTTGTTTTGATCACGGAAGTGCAGGAGCATGCAGTGCAACCGCCGTCTTGGCGTTTGTTTGTCGGAGGTCTCCCGGAGCCATCTTGGGTCTCTCTTTGGGTCCTCGCGGGGCCACTTGGGGCACTCGTGGGGCCCTCTTGGGGCTCTTCTGGGGGGTCTCGGGACCCTCTTGGAGCTCTCTGGGGGGGCCTGGATTCAGGATTCATGCCCCCCCCCCTTCGGAGGCTCAACGATATCGCTTTGAGGCCCTCTGGATCCGTTCTCGGAGCGCTCTAGGGCGCTCTTGGTGCCCTTCTGGAGCCTTCTTGGATTCCTCTTGGGGCTCCCTTGCACAATCTTCGGGCAGTTTGGGGGCCTCCGAGGCCCGTCGGACGCGATAAGGCGAAAAGACACAACTCATCCATTTTCCGTCTGTTTTGGAGCCATTGTGGCCTCTTGGTGGGGTCCTTGGAGGGCTCGGGGGGCACTTGAAACCATCTCGGGGCCGTCTCGAGGCCTCTCGAATGTGCGTCGGCGGCTATCTTGAGTCTTCTTGAGCTATATTGTGCCATCTTGGAGGACATCTCGGGAACTCTGAGACCCTCTTGGAGCCATCTTGGGCGATTTTGGGAGCTTTAACGCCTCGCGCCTACCCCCCCACCTCACAGGCCCAGGGGAGGGTGTAGGGGGGAGGGGTCAAGACACCCTCCTAGATGGCAAGCCGTCTAACTTACTCCCACCCGCACCCTCAACACATAAGAATACCCGAGCCTCAGCATGTTCAGCGGTCGTCTTTGGACGGACAGCTACTGGGAACCATCACCGACCCCATGTGCGCGACGCTGGGGCGAGGTGCGCCACGCGTGCCAGGCGCGACACGCGCGCCAGGCACCCCTGGGGCCCGAGCGTGCCAGGCACGCCTGGTGCGCCAGATGCGCTACGTGCTCCACGTGCGCCAGGTGTGCCGCATACTCCAGCCGCGGCAGGTGTACCACGTGCGAGGCACGTGCAGAGTGTGTCAGGTGCGCCTGCGCACGTGACAGCACACATCGGGAAACATGTCGGCCTCCACCATCCTTGTCGAAAACCAATGACCATCATGTTTTCTGGCGGGCCTGCGCAACGCAGGCCATGCGCCACCGCCCCCGCCGTCCCTGTCCAAAACCACTTGGCAGTGATCGCGCGGTGGCCGCGCATGATCTAGATTTAGCCGCGAGGTGCATTGTGTATTGTTTTTGTGACATGGATTGTGGCCCCGCACACAGCAGGCAATATGCTGACACCCCGGCCGCCGCGGTCAAAAACAATACAGCGTGCCCGCGGGCCTCACGAAGGTGTCTCAAGACTTTGCCCCAAACTGTACTTCGCATTTTTTGACAGGGATGGTGGGGGGGACCCGCATCGGGTTGGTTGCCACGGTTCCGAATTTGGAAGCAGAGCGTGATGTTCCCAACCAGCCTGTGGTGTTGGGTCCTCGTCTTGAAGAGACAGTCCCCGTTTTCTTGCCTTCCTTCCTCATCCCCCCCTCCTCCCATTCCTCCCTCCTCCATCACCTCCCAAGCGCTTCGTGGCCCCATAAGGAGCTCCACCGAAGACTTCGGTGGCGGTGTTCGCATGCGTCCCCGCCCCCCATTCCGGCACACCCTTCGCACGCTTCGTGGCCCCATAGGGAGCTACTACAGAAGGCCTCAGTGGCGATGTTCGCATTCGTCCCCGCCACCCATTTCGGCACACACCCCATTCGGTTCGTGGCCCCATAGGGAGCTCCACCGAAGGCTTTCAGTGGCGGTGTTCGCATACGTCCCTGCCACCCATTCCTGCACACCCCTCACACATTTCATTGCCCTATAGGGAGCTCTACAGAAGGCCTCAGTGGCGCTGTTCGCATTTGTCCCCGTCACTTATTTCGGCGCACACACACACCGCGCTTCGTGGCCCCATAGGAGCTTTACAGAAGGCCTCAGTGGCTGTGTTCGCATGCATCCCCGCCGCCCATTTCGGCACACCCTCAAACGCTTCGTGGTCCCATACGGAACTCCACCGAAGGCGTTCAGTGGCGGTGTTCGCATGCGTTCCCGCCACCCATTCCAGCACACCCCTCACACATTTCGCTGCCCCATAGGGAGCTACTACAGAAGGCCTCAGTGGCGGTGTTCGCATTCGTCCACGCAACCCATGTCGGCACACACCCCACGCGTTTCGTGGCCCCATCGGGGGTTCCACCGAAGGCTTTCAGTGGCGGTGTTCGCATACGTCCCCGCCACCCATTCCAGCACACCCCTCAAAGATTTCATTGCCCAGTGAGAAGTTCTACATGAGGCTTCAGTGGCGGTGTTCGCATTCGCCCCCGCCACCCATGTCGGCACACATCCCACGCGCTTCGTGGCCCCATAGGGGCTCCACCGAAGGCTCCAGTGGCGGTGCTCGCATGCGTCCCCGCCACCCAAATCGGCACACCCATCACACGCTTCGTGGCTCCATAGGGAGCTCCACAGAAGGCCCCAGTGGCGGTGCTCGCATGCGTCCCCGCCACCTATTCCGGCACACCTCACGCGCTTCGTGGCCCCGTAGGGAGCTCCACCGATGGTTTTCAGTGGCGGTGTTCGCATGCGTCCCCGCCACCCATTTCGGCACACACCCCATACGAAGTTTTACAGAAGGCCTCAGTGGCGGTGTTCGCATTCGCCCCCGCCACCTGTTTCGGCACACGCCCCGCGCGGTTCGTGGCCCCATATGGACCTCCACCGAAGGCTTTCAATGACGGTGTTCGCATGCGCCCCCGCCACCTACTCAGGCACACCCCTCACACATTTCGTGACCCCATATGCTCCACAGAAGGTCCCAATGGCGGTGTTCGCGTGCGTCCCCGCGACCCATGTCAGAACAGCCCTTCACCGTTTCGTTGCCCCGCAGGGAGCTCCTCCAGTGGCCCCAGTGGCGGTGTTCGCATGCGTCCCCGCCACCCATTTCGGCACACCCCTCACACGCTGTGTGGCCCCATAGGGAACTCCACCGACTCCACCGAAGGCGTTCAGTGGCGGTGTTCGCGTGCGTCCCCGCCACCGATCTCGGCAAACCCCCCACACGCTTCGTGGCCCCATAGGGAACTCCACCGGAAGCCCCAGTGGCGGTGTTCGCATGCGTCTCCGCCACCCATTCTGGCACACCCGTCGCACGTTTCGTTGCCCCATGGGGGGCCCACCGGAAACCCCAGTGGCGGTGTTCGCATGCGTCCCCGCCACCCATTCCGGCACACCCCTCAAACATTTCGTTGACCCATAGGGAGCTCAACCGAAGACAGTACCCACAACTGTGTTAAACACAACTGCGTATGGTTGGGTCCTTCGCCAGGCTAATGTATTGCTTTTGACAGGGATTGTTGGGGGGTGGGATCATTGGGTCGGCACTGTTCCTGGTTGGCTGCGGGTTGCCTGGGGGAGGGGGTGTATATTGACAGGGAACAATGATAAACCCCTCCCCAGAGCAGGGGAAGGAAGGATATTTGCAGAGAGAAGACAAAACTCGTTCAACCACCTACGCCCAGAGGGCTGGTGGGACTCGTGTTGTGTGTCTCTTGATGCCCTCTTGTGGGTGCTCCTGAGGCTCTCTCGACGCGTGTTGGAGGTTTGTTGGGCCGTCTTGAGGCCAGCTTGAGTTTTATTGCGGCCTCCATGGCGTGTCGGATCCCTTCTTGAGCCATCGTCGAGGGCATCATGGCAGTTTTTTTTGGGGGGGGACCGTGGAGAGTTGATGTGGAGTTTCCAGGGGGCCGTGAGGTGCGCTGGTGAGTTGCAGGGGGCATCCCATTAGAGGCGAGAGGAGCTCATCTCGGCTCTAATGGGATTTCGGACCCTATCCTCCTCCTCCTCCTCCTCCTCCTCCTCCTCCTCCTCCTCCTCCTACTCTTATCCTTATTCCTTATTCGAATATACTCCTACTCCCCCCTCAGGCCGGCAGATAGCGGGCGCATCCGGATGGTCCCATCCTAACCTGTAAAAAACAATACAAAATCAACATTTGTCTTATTTTTTCCTCTCGACATGGACGTCCTGTCGTCCACGGCGATAATCCATTGCAAAAAATACCACAAAGAGCACACGCGCGCGTTCATGTCAGAATCCTACCGAACACCGTGTGTTTGCAAGCATTTCAACATAAAAACATCAAAAACCCAATGCTTTTTCACAAAAATTGTACAAATTTCCCGCCCGGGCTCTCTTGCTGAAATCATAGGAAAACCATAGGAATCTTAAGAATTCGGTCAAATCCAGCGATTTCACGTCATCGCGCGGTGCACTCGCGATGCTCTGTCATGCACCCAGGCCGCGAATCCTGTGCAAAAAATACCACAAAGAGCACACTCGCGCGTTCATGTCAGAATCCTACCGAACACCGTGTTTTTGCAAGCATTTCAACATAAAAACATCAAAAACCCAATGCTTTTTCACAAAAATGCTTTGGGGTGTCCTGTCAGACCGTCGGGCTTCCTCCGGCCACCTCTGGCTTCCTGCGGTGTACCGGGCCATTCTCGACTCGTCTGGCAATGCGTGCGCGGCATTCAACACGCGCTCGCCAGTTCCCGTCGGCAACCGCCATCGCGGCCGCATCAGCTGTACCAAACCGGCTGGCCGGTGTGACTTCGGCCCCCAGTTGTGCCAGCTTTGCTTCTTATGTTGTGGGAGGGCGGGTGGGACTGGGCATGCCATGCTTGACTCGCTCGAGCTGGCTAGCTTGACTCCTCTCTCCTCTCCTCTCCTCCTCCTCTCCTCCTCCTCCTCCTCCTCCTCCTCCTCCTCCTCCTCCTCCTCCTCCTCCTCCTCCTCCTAGGTCACTCCCAGCGAGAGGGGGTCGGCAGACTCTGGCCTTTCTCCTCCTCCCCCTTTCCTCCCTCCTCGCTGCCAGGGCTGCGAATGGGACACGCTGCTGCAGCCCGCGCGGACGTGGGATGCAGACCACGTGGTGGGCGAGGTGCTCCTCCTCATCCTGCTCCTGGTCTTTCTCCGTCGATGCATTCCCCCTTAGTTATCCGCATCTTCGTCCTCCTCTGGCGCACCTTCCCTCCTGCTGTTGCTCCTCCAGCTCATCCTCGTGCCTCCTCCCTCCATTATCCCTCCTACTGCTCCATGCTCATCGCTCCCTCCCTTTGGACCCTCCTAGGTTCGAGCAAGCCCCACCCTCTACTCCTTCACTCTTCTCATCGCTTCGCGTACCCTTACCAGCCCATCCAGGAACGATGCCTAGGGGGAGCTGCAAATCACCGGGGAGCGTGGCACCGTGTGGATACCTCGCTTCGGTGAACTAGAGGCCCCCTAGATAATGTTCGGAATCTCCTGGGGGGGGGGGCTCTTGGTGGCTTCTCAGAGCGTCATGGGGCTGCTTAGGGCCTCTTGGGGCGTATTCTTGGGGACCTCTTAGGGGGGCATTCATGGGCCCTCTTGGGGGCCCTGGAAGCCTTCTTGGGACCATTGTGGAGGACATCGATCAAAGAAGGGTGTTCCTCAATCTGCGTTGCACCTCTTAAGCTCCCAACATCTTATCTTGGCACCCTGTCGGAGACGTTTTGGGGCTCTCTTGGGCGGTCGTGGAGTCATCGTGAGGCCTCGGAAGGCAATTTGAAGCGAAAAGGCGAGAAGACAAAACCACATTATTTTTCCGTTCGGTTGATAAAAGGATTGTGTGGTT